GCATAGAAACTACCCCCGAACCATAGAAACTACACCTGGAGCATAGAAACTACACCCGGACCATAGAAACTACACTTGGACCATAGACACCCGGACCAAAGAAACTACATCTGGACCATAGAACTACACCTGGCCCATAAAAACTACATCCGGACCATAGAACTACACCCGGACCAAAGAAACTACACCTGGACCATAGAAACTACGCTTGGACCATGAAAACTGCAGCAATCCCTCTACGTCAGTCTCTTTCCTGATAAACCCCAGCCGTCCGAGGCAGATGGCCGCCCATCCTGAACTTGGTTCTGGTTCTGGGGGTGATCGCAATGAAGAGAAGATTCAACACAATTTGGTGTTTTCTTTAGATAGATACAGTAACTTTACCGTATTTTTCGGACTATAAGGCGCATTAAAAACCTTTAATTTTCTCAAAAATCGACTGTGAGCCTTATAATCCGGTGCGCCTTATGACCCATCAATTCTGGATGTGCTTACTGACCTCGAAACGATTTTATGTGGTACAACTGGACAAGGTTGAGAGTTATTGTGAATGAGTTGAATAAAGCTTGACTTATCTGTTTTGTTTCACTTTATGTGCCTTATAGTCCGAAATATACGGTACTAATCAGCATTTCATAAAGCACCAAACGTGAAGGTTTCTGTTGTATTTGGACTGAATCAACTGTATTAGGACATGGATCTGAAATAGTTTTGAACTCAAGTTGAACTGGTTTTTCTTGTTCCTGGGACAAATTTTGATGTTAATTGGTGCTATATAAATAAACTGGATTGAATCTAATTAAACTGGAAGGATGGATGGAAGGATGGATGGATGGAAGGATGGATGGATGGAAGAGGCAGGAAATCATCTGAGCAGTAACAACTGACAAAAGCTGCTGATAGATCGTAAATAAAAGTTTTCAGAATAAGAGACGCTTCACATGCTTTTCAAAATAAAACAAACAAAGCTCGATCAGCAGTGTTGGGTTGGTTTGTTTACAGCCTGTTTTTTTAAACAACACAACAAACAAAGGATTAGTCACCGAAACAGACAACGGTCCAGACAAAACAAAAACAAAGCTAAGAATAGAAAAGTGGGTTCACCCTGCAGCTCGTCAGCTCCTCGGCCAAAGCAAGCGCCGAGGAGGACGTTTGTCCGTCTCCACTTTTTGTCTGTTACACAAAATCTCCCAAAGTGAGTTTTATAAAACGAGGTGGCGAGTTGAAACGTGGGGAGATAAAAACTCACTACATTTCAGAATGACCTGCGATCTCTCTAACTAAAATGGTCCAACACGTGGTGAAAGTTCCTGTTTACTGTTGGAAGACGAGTTCACTGGTTGATCATTTTATTTCAAAACAACACTTCAGTTCAGGATGAAACATCATGAGAACCACACAAGTGTTTCCAGACTCTTTAGCCTCGTCAACCTGGACTGGAAGTCACGTTTTTGGTGCATTAAAATAGAAGTGATGGCTAAAACTAAAGAAAAGTGACCCACCGTTAGAAAATGGAGCATGGCTTTAAACAAACACCTGAAACCATTGGGTCTTACTGGTTTAAGAGTGGTTTCCTTTGTGGATTAGGTTAAGTTCAAATAAAACTGCCCCCTTCTTACGGTGCAACTGAGCACTGGCTTGTAAAAGGCATTTTCCTGTACTTAAAACAGTAAGCATGCACTTATGAGCTATTAATGAACAAAACGTATGTTCCACAGCAGAACCATCATAATTACAATCTGAAGCGTTTCATTTAGAATCCTGCAGGACGAAGAACGAAAACGTGTTTCGACTGGACTGCGAGCTCGCGGAGCGCCGACATTCTCATAGAGATGAACTCCCCTCAGTGTGCAGCTCAGACTGAAGGAGAAATAAAAAAACAACGCTGGCTCTTTGAAAGAAGCAACTCTTCATTTAACACGGTAAACAAAAAGCTTTGAAGTCAGCTATTTAAAATAGGATTTACATGAATAAATAAATCAGTCACCGACGTGAGCTGCGACAGTTTAATGAAACGGCTGAAGGCTTGCGAGCCAAACGCACACAACGCTGCAAACAAGAGTGGAGGTAACGCGGGGGAATAACCCCCACCTGCAACCCCCACCTGCTCGGCTCTACAGAACCTCTTTGTTTAAACTTATGCTCAGCCGTGACTGAACTCGGGAACAACTCCAAGTCTGAACGTCGCCCTCTGATCCGATAAGAAAAACAAAGCGACTTTAAATTAAACGCCACTTTATTGATGTCATCGTTCATCCTGACGACTGCTCGTATCTCACAGCCGCTCTGTTTCAAGCTGCATGAATAAAAAATAGGATTTTTTTTTTTTTTTTTACTGCCTGCATTATAGATGAGCTTCACATCCATCACTGTAAAATGTTTAAAACATAATAAAATAGTTGGAAATGACCGTCGTTCTCACTGGGGATGGGCCTCGATAGCAGCTTGTGGAAATCCAGTGTTGAAGCAAATCTCATCTCCGTCTAAAAATTTAATTAAATATTATGTCAGGATTTTTCAGCTGTTGCTAGCCCAAGATGCAGACACTTGTGCTGTTTCCAGTGGCAGAATATTTAAAACCCTAATTAAATATATACAAACACAAAGAGGAGATCAGTTCTGTAGATAATCATAGGCCTGTCACGATAACAAATTTTGCTGGGCGATTAATTGTCTCAGAAATTATCGCGATAAACGATAATATTGTTTGAAATTTGACAATAATTAGTATTGTCAAATTTAAGAAGAAATGTTGGTTAATTTTTGTGTGTAGTAGCTTTTTTGACCACTAGATGGCAGTATATGACGGCTTGAACCGAAAGATGGATAGTGAGGGAGCGAGCAGCGTCTCTCTTTAAGAAAAAGGAGTTAAAACGGGTTTTAACAAGAAATGAGGGGTCAGTGAAGAGCACCGGAGTTGAATCTTTTGTCATCCAGTGTCTTCAGTAGAAAGAGAGACACGAAGAAACAATAAAGCCGATAAATGAAAATGAGGTAGATCATTTTCATTTATCATGCGATTAATTGATTTATTGTTTATTGCAACAGGCCTAGACGATCACTGATCTACAAATTTATCTATCCACTCTCAGCTGAATCAATGTGCAGCAGGTGAGATGAGTCCAAAACTAAAAAGTCTCCTGTGGGTGTTTTATTTTGTTAAATGCAAGTCATAAATCATTCCAAACTTTGTTTTTACCTCTTAGCCCTGAGTCTACATTTTGCACGTTCAAAGTGTAAACACAGGCGAAGTGGAGTGGAGATTTTTCACGACTACACTTGCAGTGAAGTGTGCTGGTCCAGAAAGCCACAGATGTTTGTTCCTCTGTCAGGAAGATTTCGCTGTAACGAGCTTTTCAGAGTCGAGTTTGATGTATTCTGATGTGTCGTATGAACTCATGTCGTTCATTCTGCCTCACAGACGTAAAACTAGCATTGTATGCAGATGACAACGCAGTCTCTGTTTACATTAAAAGAATTAGCATCCTTAGGTGTCTGATTCTTGAAAGGGGCGACTAATTTCTTCGTGGAGTATTTTAAACATTACACCTCATTATTTCAAAGTACAAACCAAGGGGACACTTGACAGCTGGGGTTAATGCTAGAAGCTGTTTCTCATATTCCAATGGTTTATTATCTGGGTGTCCAAATACTTCTTTAAAACGTCTCCAGTTAATCCTAAATGCTGCTGCCCGAGTCTTAACTGGAGTTAGTGGGAGAGATCATATCTCTCCAGTTTTAGTTTCTCTCCATTGCTCCCTGTCAAATCCAGAATAGAATTCAAAATCTTACTTCTAACCTACAAAACTCTCAACAACCTAGCTCCATCTTATATTACAGATCTTACTGTTCCGTATTTTTCCAACAGAGCACTTCGCTCTCAGACTGCAGGCTTACTCGTGGTTCCTAGTTTCCAAAAGCAGAATGGGAGGAAGATCTTTCAGTTATCAGGCTCCTCTCTTGTGGAACCAACTTCCAGTTTCTGTCTGTGAGGCTGACACATGGTCCAGTTTTAAGACTGGGCTTAAGACTTTCCTTTTTGATAAATCCTATAGTTAGGGTTGGTTGTTATGCTGCTATAGGCTTAGACTACTAGAGGACAAACTGATCTCATTTCCTTCAATGATTTGTTATAACTGAATACTTTTCATTTGATACTATTTCTATCTTGACCTGCCATTGTGTATCTGTTCCTCTCAAACCCAGCCGGTCGAAGCAGATGGTCCACTTGTCCTGAGCCTGGTTCTGCTAAAGGTTTCTTCCTCATGAGGGAGTTTTTCCTTTCCACTGTCGCCTTCATGCTTGCTCAAGATGAGAGTTCTGAGTCTGCTCCTCAGATAAATAATGTTAAATTATTATTTTTATATATGAATGTTTCTGTTCCGTGCCCTGAGACGACTTCTGTTGTGACTTGGCGCTTTATAAATAAACCGAATAGAAATGAATTGTATATTCCGTTCAATTGTGACTAAATTAGAACAAAAAAAAAAAAAGAGAGAGATAAAACTTTTAAAATTTTAGAGATTTGTTTCCATGGTTCCTAATGGACCGGCTATCAGAACCCATCCCCGGTGCTTCCTTTCCCACCCCCTCCCTGACCGGCTTCCCTTCACGGTTACATGTGAGTGTCACGGACGGAGAACAGAAACGAAGGTCTTCAGTGCTGCCAGTCTGAGCCAGTCTTTGCCACCATGATCATGACAGACACTGCTGGTCTCCTCTCCGACCACCTTTTTAAATCTCCCTCAGACCACCCGGAGTCTATCGGTACGGTGGTTCGGGCTGCTGAGGGTTCGGTCTGTAAAGCTGCTGCACTCGAACTGGCCGCCCGTTAGCCGGCCAGCCGCCCGACAGCTGTCCGATGACCCTGAGCCCAACCGGCTGGCCGTGTCCTGGAAGCGGGTTGCCGGGGCTCAGGATGTGGGGCTGGCCCACTTGGGGTTCAGAGTGAGAGCTACTACTTTGATGGACGGGAGCCGAGGCAGGTGGGGAAACGGGATAATGAGGGACGAGGATGGCCGGCGTCAGGCCGTAGCGCACTTGGAACACCCTGAGAGGTCCCTGCGCGATGAAGCCGTTGGGTCTGTGGGCTTCTGGAGGCTGCTCAGAGTCCTTCCTGACTTCAGGAACATGGTTCTCCTCCGCTCGCTTGGCTTTGCTCGGCTGCCTTTTGGCTTGAACGACCTCTTGCATCTTCTCTGCTTGAGCCCGGCGGATGTGATACGTCTTCCTGGAGCTCTGAAAAGAGTCCAAGAACTCATCCAGGCTTACGTTCCCCTCCATGAACTTCTCCAGCAGCTCCTGTGAAGCAGGGCAAACAAACAAACCAGCGTCAGAAGACAAGAAAACAGAAAGAGGAGGGGTCCAGCTGAAAGGAAACCAGCCAAACGAACTCCACAAAGAACAGAGGATTCAATCAGGTCAGGGATGTTTATCCATAAACTTCAACCAACAAAGGCTCACGTTCTGTTTCATGTGGCAGAACTTTAAAGTTTGATTTGTCTCCGATTGTCCCGGGGGGGGGGGGGGGGGGGGGAGACTCGTCTGATCGAACAGAGCTCTGCCGACAGAAACATTTAATCACCGCTCTACCTTCAGTGACAGTTTTAAATTAGGCCGGGTCCACAGACCAAACACGAGTTCCTGTTCAGGCGCGCTGCACGTTCACTCCGGCAGAATGCGTCGATTTTACAACTAAAACATTCAGAGTTTCCAAACCAAACGTTTTATACGAGCTATAAAAATCTGTTCAGCACATCTTCACATTATTTCTGTTCGCAGAAAACCAGCGAGGACAACAAAGACTTATCTACAAGAGACGTGAATTTATTCCCATTAATTCCTCACGTTGTTAGAGCAGCGGAGAAATAATTAAGAGGACGGAGGAGTTCCTTCTAAAGGATTCATGAGCTCCTGTAGCTTCAGGTGGTGCCGGTGCCCGATGTGCCGACAGAACGCTCGGATTCATGGAGACTTCCCGCTCCGGATTCATTAGACTTTACGTCAAAGAAGACAGGCGAGGGATTTGAGAAATATTAACATAAGAGGTGTAAATCCATGACATATTCATGACTCGGCAGTTTGTATTCACCGTGGGGAAACCCTGAAAGCAACTTTGTCACTGTAAAAATGTTTAATTTGATTAATTAAAACACAAAAATGCATGTAGAAAAAAGTATTGAAGGCGTTAATGCTGTTAAAAAAGCAGTCAAATTAAAATCACTTTTCCTTAAAGCTCCAACGGCAGATTAAAATGGCAAATTACAGTAAAGACTTATAACTAGTCAAATTTTAAATATGTAAATATTTGTTCCACATTTTAAAGCACTTTTTTTTTTACACAGTTAAACAAGAGAAGAAATAATCTTAAATTTATTTGAAACAGGAAGTAAAAACATTATTTCTGTCTGATGTGTTTCGATTTAAACTACATTTTATTAATAAATGTTATGAGAACCATTTTCAGGTGTTTCTTATACATGGAAGTAGAAAATGTAAAATTGTTCAGGGTTCAGTTTTGTGTTTAGGGTACGTTTTTATGCTTCGTAAATACAAATATATGTGTATTTGTTTGTTTTAGTCAGCTTTGGATAAAATAAATTGAAGATCTTTGGTGCAGAAATGCTCCATAAAAACCTTTTTTTGGTTAAGAGCAAACCAGTCGGACTAAAATTATTATTATTTAAACAGACTAGTGATGCATCATATTTATCTGTGTATAAATTAATCATATTAATTGTTTACATCCTGCTTCCTTTGTCCGGTTCGCCTCACTCAGAGACGAGCCATCTGAGGTGGTTGGACACCTGGTGGGGACACCTCCCCCTTCAAAGGTTAACGACGTGTCCAGATGGTTGGACTGGGTCGACCCAGTATTCCCAGAAGGGATGGTGCCCCCCCAGCTGATCTGGGCGTGGCTCAGAAGGAGAAACCTGGGCTTCTCTGCCGCCTCGACAAATGTTGGTGAAATGTGCGTTGAGCAGAAAATAAAGAGGTCGTTTGTCAAAACATCAATAATAAATTTTAATTAAAGCACAGTGGGGGTTTATTATATGGCTGAAACTCGGGCCTCGTTTATTGTCAGTGAATGAAATCAGGGACGGACAGCTCGAATCACTACAATTTATTTTGTTTTCAGGAGAGAAAGACGAAGGGGAACAAAAAGGTCGGGCAATAAAACAGGAATGGGCAGTGATTCTTGAATGTTTGAAGCTTAAAGAGGTGAATTCAAAGAATTAATGCGACCGTCACGACCATTTTTATTTTGTCTTTGTAGTCCGGCGCATAAACTGACCTTTGCAGGCATCTGTTTCTGTCAGCGCACTTTATTTTGAAAGGGTAACAAAGCAGAAACTACGGTCATGGGTGAGCTCAGTTTGAAGAAAAATCATAATTCAAACTGTGTTTTGGTCTAAAATGGCCATCCTTATAAAAGAAGTCAATCATGGAGTTTTAATTAAAACATCCATCCGTCCACATCCATCCACATCCATCCATACAATCCATCTCCATCTATTCATCCATCCATCCATCCATATCCATCCACA